CGTCGTTTTTAATGCAAACGGAAAGCCAGCTAGACAACCACTACGTCGAAATAAGAGGAGTGCATTGCGCAAGTTATCAGTGGTGATAATCATCTTCCACCTGTACCTCTCGAGTTCCGAATCTTGAAACGGGCAAAATGTCTATGGTAGGTATGCAAATTTGGAATGCTGGAAATGGAAGTATGAACTGCCAACATTTTAATCTAGTGCAGGTTCCAATTCACAACCTGTTCGGTAGGAACTAGGAGAGATTCAGTTTCTTAGGCTGACATCAAATTTATGACAAGCAAACTCAGATCAATATGCCATGCAGTGAGATGTGATGGGGAAACCGCTGAAAGTGTGATTCGAGCTGTAGACTTAAAATTTGGACAGGCCACCATCAGGGTCGAGGTCGAGGTGGAAGCATTTCGACTACTAACTATTCCTGAGTAGAAGCGTGGTGATTACCAAAAGTAATGAGGAAAAGTAGTTTGTATATTGGATTAGATCGCCAAGGTCACTACGAAACACCACCATCCCCAAATGTCTTACGTTTACTCCATAACACTCTTCCAAACTATCTTTCAAGTCATTTAATAAAAAACGTAATTGATTTCAATTCAGCCTCACATAATCCTGAATAATGTTTAAGAAAAACGTGTTCAACTCATTAGAAACCTTTTTGACTGAATACGATACAATAGACACTGCAGCAACAATCAACCAAATTTGCACGACGTCTGACAAACCGACTAACGCTGTCTCCGTAGCACCAATAATCGAGCCTCCGAAACGTTTCGAATGGTGAAAATCGGCTTCCATGTAAACTCCTCCAGTGTCAACGGCTGAAGTAAAAAATGGGTACAAGGGTATTTCGCGCATAGTTGAAAATGAATTGCTAAATTTGCTGTCTTACACTTGAATCTGATGCTCGAACAAATTCATGCACATTTCCGTCACGATCTAAACAAAACGAGAAAATCGGTTGAAGTTGCAGTGCATTTGGAACTCGCAGTGAGGCTACACGTGAAACCAGCTTATCACGCGTCTTCGCCAGTACCTCTACAGGTAGCCGATTTCGTTTGTGTGACGATCACGCAAAGGGAACTTACCTGCTAGGAGAAGCCTCTCATTCAAAACAACAAGTGATCCTGACTGGGGTGTGCCGTTTTCAATCGAATGAAGTTGAGTCCACTGACCGGGATCGTTGTCACCAGCAGGAAGACGAAGGCACTCGACACCAGTGTTGATGCAATGGCCATCGCCAGCAACAACGACGCGACCGCGGAAGTAGGCAACACCAGGATCAGTGCGAGGTTGCATCATTGGAGCAAGTTGGCGCCACGACCATTTCTCGACGCCGTTGCATTCCGTGCTGCATGAGAGCAGTTCTGCTGTGCACAAGTTGCCATTGCCACTTTTGTACCCACCAACCACGACGACCCCAAAGCCGGGGACTCTCGCCGCGCCACTGAAGGTAAGTGGAGTGGGCATATCTGGCAATGAAGTCCACCTTAAGTGGGCAAAACCACGCCATCATCTGCCTAATGCAACCTCAGTCTCTCTATCAGCTCTGGCAGGGCTTGATGGGCTTTTGAGCAGACTGTCAATGCTCTTCTACCTTATTGCAACTTACATCTGTCAAAGTATCATATCCTATTGTTGACATTTTCTATTTTAAATGCATGATTTATCTGCCATAATGGTGGGTGTGCATTTAAGACTGACAGTCGTCGTTTTTCATCCACAACCTATTCTAGTAAAATGCCCACACTCGTGTTGGAGGTAACACCAACTTGCCTGTTCGTTGCAGGGTCTAATTTCTCGCACGACGACATTTGGGTTGTACCATTATATCCTCCAAATACGAGGAGCTGTTGACCGTTCACGGCAGCAGCAGCGGAAACCCAATAGCGTCCCTGCGCCATCGGCGCTGCACTGGAGACGCGACCGTCGAACGGGTCCACTCGGTCAACCAGCCTAGACGCTTCTCCGTCCTCATTCCTGCCACCGATCATGTAAATGCTCTCTGCAAGGTAAACGAAACACCAGCAAACACAACTGTATTGAGAAGCATCGACAGGATCTGCACCACAGTGTGGGTGGGAGTGAACTCACCATTCAACACGGCAACTACGCATCTGTCACGTGATGGCACATTGTGCCGAAAATTCAAGTGTGCTGTCGGAAGTTCTGCGCCAGCACTTCTGGCAATGATTTTTTCCTCAATTTCCTTCCACTCGGATGTGGCGAATTTCATTTCCGTGTAAACAATAATGCCGTCCGGGGGGTACGTGTAAGGAATTATGTAGTATCTCATAGGTCCTCTATAATACAAAAGAAATAAACTAACACCATCTCTTTTAGCAAATAGTGTCAACTGTTAAAACACAATTCGCCAGAGCGAATCTTTCAGCAAAGACAAACTTACCTGGTGTTCGCTTCCTTCCAGGCATCACTTATTAGATCTCTGTTTGGGTGAAAGAAAAAACACAACACGGTAGCCAGGTGCAGAAGGCAAGTGCTTGAAATGTCTATAGCAAATACACACCTGAATTCTTTCGGAAGGCTCATCCAACAGTTTGACATACAGAACTCGTCGAAATCGTCCGAGGTGATTTCGCTAAGATCAACAGCTCCAACGAGGTCTTTGAAGGTGGCAACGCGAGTGTCATCATCTTCGTCCACGAACGCCGTCACATCCTCCTTGTTCGCAGTGCTGTTAGCTTCGAACCAATTTGCAATCGTTCGCAACTTCGCGGTTCCCGCCACACTAACTAGTCGATCATCGCTCAGCAAAGACGACAGACTGTCTAGTTCTATTGTAGAATGAAACGTCACCTGTGTGGCGATGCTGTCAAAGTGAGCAGCAATAAATGGCACGCAAATGTTTATCATATGCGTGTTCCTGGTTGCATTCGCAACCGACCAAATTTGCTCCACGTTCTCTCTGGAAACTCTACAATTGGTTAATAAAGAAGGCGTTTTAGTCAAATATCGGTAGGATAAACCAATAAAATGTTGCCTGCGGTACCTTGCCTATCATGTGACGCACATTATCTTTTTTATTCGACGGTGTCCGCCTACTTATATTGCAATTTGTGCCACAAAATGTTCTCGAATTAAATGTTGTAGGAATTAATGTTTTGGTGTCAGAGCAGGCAACGTACCTGGGTTGAAGGAATTCAGCGCACCAAGAGGTGATCGTGCGAGAACCCAGATCGTTCGCCATCAGGAAAAGCCGCACAGCGTTGTCCATGGAGATTTCGATGCTGCCGGTGTACGCGAACACCACCACTGCCTCCACTATGCTACAACACACACACACACTATCCAATGAAATCCTGCAACTTACTTTCTGTCATATCGCCGCCATTTCAAACTGCCTCCCACACAGTCCGTCACTGCCTGCTCCAAATGCGGAAATCGCGACGCCAACACAACTCGATGTGCCACCACCTCGTGCCCGTCTTTGGTCTAATTTCACACTAGCGCTCTACCTCATGTGCACTTACCTCTATTCTCACATCTGTGAACTTGCCAAGTCTCTGCAATCTGGCAAAGGGAGCGCATTCCACGTAGCCACTCGGCTGCTCAGAGTAGGTCGATTTGACAGCAAGCTCCATGTGACGCTAGGATGAAAGCACAGAAGGGAACATTCAATGTGAATTTGTAAAATAACCTCGTATGCAGAAGTCACTGGCAGCCATGTTGGTGCATTTCGCGCTACAATCAAATCACTCACTCTCGTACGAGCACGTTTGCGCGGATACATGGCCTACGCGATGTGGCTTTCGCACATATCTCGTGTGGTCGTTAGTGGGGTTGACAGGCGCCTTCACGCTCATGTCGACTGTGATTGGGGCGTTGCAGACGCTCACGGGACATGACGCAGCAGTTGCCTCGTGGTTCTGCCAATCGCGGTCCCAGCGTTTGTGCCTGCGTTTGTGTGTGTGTCTGGTGTATTGATGCTGAAGTCAACTGCTGGAATTTACCGAAATTGATATTTCCACACGATTAAATACTGCTTTTAAACACTGTGGCAACTTACTTGCTCGTTTTGTAAATTTTATTAAGCAGTCTTTTGTCCGATGAAATCACGTTGTTGAGTGTGATTTTGGAATAGATGTCATCTCAGGGCTGCATCTAAAGTGCTTTGAGTGTTTTTAAATGACACCATATTATAATGTCTGATGCCATTGGTTGGACTCGGCTTGTGATCGTCAGCGACATTTCAATGAATGCACAACGTCCTTTCGTACCGAAGCCGATGCAACGCCAAGTGTTTCAAGCCCTTCACGGTCTTGCTCATCCTGGTCAGCGTGCAACACGGAAGCTGATCTCAAGTTGTTATGTTTGGCCTGCCGTAAATCGCAATGTTTTGAAGTGGACTGGCAATTGTGTGAGCTGTCAAATATCGAAGGTGGACAAACACAGCAAGACCCCTGTTGCACGCGTTAGCGTTTCAGACGCTAGGTTTGATCAAGTACACGTTGACATTGTTGGAGCCTTACCGCACTCGAGGGGTTTGTTGAGTTTTGTCTTGCGTTAATCGTTTTACCTAATGACAGGATGCTTTTGCAATGCAAGACGTCTCCTTCGAAACCGTAGTTAGGACATTCGTGGACAGATGGGTTGCCTTATTTGGAGTCTCCTCCACCATCACCACAGTTCGTGGAACTCAGGTTGAATGAAGCCTGTTACAAAATCTCACTCGACTTCTGAGGACGAACGGTATTCGAACGACCGCCTGCCACCCTCAGTCAAATGCCATGGTAGAACGTTTTCACCGGTAACTGAAAGCCGCTTTGCCAGCGCACAGTGACTCATCTCATTGGCTGGACGTGCTACCCCTCATGTTACTCAGTATTCGATCAGGCGTTGATGAAGACTTGGGTTGTTACTCTGCAGAAATGGTTTTCGACACGACATTAAGAATCGCTGGACAATTTTTCATAGCAATATCCAGAGCGTAATGCGTGGACACAAGCAGCTACGTCGATGATTTGAGGGAGGCAATGAGCAATCTGATATCATCTCAACCTCGCTCGTCGCATACTTCATGCTTCATCCCAAGAACACCGTCCTCTTACACTCATACTTTCATCAGGCACGATGACATTCGTCGACCACTCGAACCTACCTATGATGGACCTTTAAAAATACTCAGACGAGCAGAAAATGTTTCAGTCGTGGAACGAAATGGAAAAGGAGATGCCGTATTTATTGACCGCATGAAACCAGCAACCCTCGACGCGGAGACGCCGCCAAGCACCAAGCCCGTGGCGCAGCCAACTCCCATCCCTTTTCACAATGGAGAAACGATTTCCACCACACGCTATGGCATCATTGGCCTGATCGTTATACTGTCTGACCCCCACCCCACACTTGTTCTTATATCCCAACCACTGTCTGTATCAAACACGATCCACCTCGGGTTTTTTGAATCTCGCCTGGTTTACCGCATTTTGGTTTCAATTTCGCGTAATTCGCTTCGGGTCTCGACTCTCAAGCCCTCGCTTCCAGGTTCCTAACTGTTCTAGGAGAGCCCAAATCGTGCTCACAATACTTACGACCTACCTTTCAGAAAACCCTATTAAAAGAAAAGGTTAGTCCCATCCGTTCGTTGAGGAGGAGGGCTGTTGTGAATCCCGTTGACTCACGTCCAATAACCCAATCGTTGCAGCTACCAGCACATGCTGCCCCTTTTCACGGCGTGCCCGTCAGTCACGTGAGGCCGTCGGTTCATCAACCCCTCTGCTGCATGTACCGCCACTTGCATGTGCCACCCACTTTAGTCATGTGACTTCACAGACGTCTGTGTTTAATCTTTTAACATGTCCACTCAACCGTATCAGAAGACACACGCACAACTTGGTTGAGCTGTCGAGTAAACTGTCGTGCCCGCCATCTCTGGACTTCTCTTCTTTATTGGTTATGTCGTGTGGTAAAGGTTCTCAAAAGCCAATCTGCGGACAAGCTGTAGCGGCTAGATGATTTAGCACTAGCTTACAACCATCTAGTTAACAGCCTGTCACAACCCGAGGATAGGGGAAAAGGAGGCGACAGAGAGCACGACCGTTTATCAGAGTCCAACCAGCCGAGCGGCTTTGTAAGCGCATGAGTACGCGTGCGTTACAGTCGAATTCTGACAGAGATAAATAACAAAAGGGGTGAGTCATCGGTCCACTCGGGCCCTCATGCACGCTCACTCACGCGAGGTGGTTGTCAGTCCACTACAAAGCTTTGCTCAAAGACGTTTGGCAAATCTGCATCTTTCCTTTCATCTTGATTATGACATCGTGTTAAACCTGACAGTCATCGTATTTCATCGACATACTATTCAAATAAAATGACCTTACTCGTGTTCGTGGTAACACCAACTTGACTGTTCGTTGCAGAGTCGAATTTCTCACACGACGACATTTGAGTTTCATCATCATATCCTTCAAATACAAGGAGCAGTTGAGGGTTGACAGCAGCACCAGCAGCGGAACACCAGCAGCGTGCATGAGCCATAGGCGCTGCACTGGAGACTAGACCATCGAAGGGGTCTACTTGGTCAACCAGCCTCGACACTTCTCTTTTCTCATTCCTGCCACCAATCAGGTAAATACTGTCTGAGAATGAAACGAAACACCACCGTACACAACTCTACCGCAACGCTTCGACAGACTGTACACTACAGTGTGGCTGGGTGTGAACTCACCATTCAACACAACAACTGCGCAGTCGGAACGTGATGGCACAGTGCGTCGAAAATTTAAGTCGGGTGTCAGAATTTCTAAAGATGAATTTTTTCTCAATTTACTCCAACTCGGATGTGGCGAATGTCATTTCCCTGTAAACAATAATGCTGCTCTGATTTTAAATATTGTAACCAACGACGAAAACAGTCGACATAGTTTAACATCGCATTTCGACGTCATTGGCAGTTAACTGAATGCCACTTGCTAAGACTCAGAGGCTTGCAACTACCCTGACTCACTAGGATATAGAGAACAGCCGAATCTTTCGAAAAGTACGTTTCGACCAGCACAGACAACTAATGGATGGATAAAAAAAGACCAGTAGAGTGTGTGCTGTGCCACTTGAGGGAAGTTACAAGCAGGCACACCCTACACACCCTGCGATTGGTTAATTGACTGGCACCACGTCGTGTCCCCTCAACCACCAGTTGTCAATTTGAGCTCAGATGTGGTAGAAATTGTCACAACCGCACAGGTGGTCTTTTCGCTTCAACTATGCATGTTACCATTATCCCGAAGGCAACATTTTCTCATGTAGACTGGTGTTAAGGTAATGCATTTTTGGCATGGTTAAGGCAATCTGTAGAAACTGGGCAGATGCCAAACTTGGCTTCAAGACATTGTGGTATGGATCATGCAGATTTAGCATTTTATGAACACTACAAGGGAGAAGTGGAATTTTATCTGTACTCACTAAAACCACAAGGCATATTAATTAAATGCCCCTTAGCATCAACTCAAATACAAGCAATGCAGTGTGTGTAAGTGTTTATTTGGTGAGTGGACTGCTGCAATATTAGAGAACCGTCTAGCATGAAACCGACACAAGTGCTAAATATTCACTTCTGAAAACGTCTTATGTTGATTCGATGGTAGATTCCACATGTTGACGATGAAAAAGAGGCATCTGTATAAAGCCTTTTTTGTTTAGCGTAGTTAGTTAGAATTCAAATGAATCAAACTATCAGATTCTAAATGAATAGGAGATATTTAGGGGTTAACTGACATCAGATGTTCTAATTCTACTGCAAACGCATAAGTACCATGGCTATTAAAAAAATAAACATTTCGAGACTTAGACGAACCCACCTGGCGACCTAGATAATTTAAGTGTTCTTGCAAGGTCTGAGTGAGTGCCAAGTAACTCAATTCGTAAATTCTATTTTTTTGAAATTCAGTTAGCATCTAATGGAGTGAATTGAATGTTCAGCGACTTGAATGTCATGCCGTCTACTTTCTAACCAAAAACGCGTGTCATTTTCGCCGTGTGACAGACAAGTGAGCACTGTTGGCCTGACCAAGGAAGGTAGAAAATGATACCCGGTTTGATCTGCTAGTGGTATTCAAGTACGTTAAGTATCTGCGGCTTCTACAATTAGCGTATTTCTTTTGGGATGAAACTGTCGTGTAAGCACACGTACTCACTAGCCATTCGCAGATTGGCCAATTACCACCTGAATGACCTTGACTGCATTAATATTTCGACGTCCGCGCCATGTCGCCGTAGTGCAAATTGTTCCACCAGCGGCAGGATGAACTGGTTCCGAATTCAAGTGATGATGTGTTTGTAGGACATTAAAACTGCTGAAAAGAACACTTGTGCTTTTTTCAAGTAAGTTTTAGACAAAACGTAATCGCACGCCGCATTTGCCTTAAGTGCCTTATAATCGAAAATAAAGTGAGGTAGTTGAATGCATTGTCGCTTGTGACTGACACTATTCTGGCGGAAGGCCATGCATGTTTACTCTCCGAAAATGGCTGCAGGGTTTTCTCAGTATAAAACACATCTGAATGACGATAGGACTCACGCTGTGAGGAATTGTATTTTAGTGCGTCTAGCGAGATCAACTATGACCGCTCAGTGTGCTGTGGCTGGCACTGTATCAGCAGATGCCTTACATAAATGCTGCTTAGCACGAAAATCGACAGGTATCTACGTCTGTGCAGACAGACAGCAATCACTAAACTTGCAACGCGACATCCAAAGTTAGATGCATGAAATGCGCTGAAAACTCAAGACGACGTTCTTTTGAGTGAAAGGTAAGAGATATGACTGTAGAAACTAAAGGATTCTTCCTCTCCGAGTTAATTTCCAGGATTCAAGACAACGCTGTCACTGCAGATTTCAGCGTACGCAGTGAATCACGGAAATAGTTTCATAGGACAGCTGGTCAGTTCGTTAAACTACCGCTTAGTGTCCAATTAAGGGGTTTGTCAGTGTGGGATGTGGTTTAAATCGACACTAAATGCAGGTGCAAGCAAAGAAGCAGACCCGAGCAGCACCAGTCACTTCTACCGAGAATTTACGAATACTTCGCACCTTTCGTTCCAGTCTAGGTGTGGTGTTAAACACGCCAGCCTCGTCTGCAAATGGTGCATTTGATATTCTAATCAGGGCCACCAAAACGGGATATTCTGGCACAATTATCTTAGTGAACGCACCTCCTTCAAGTTGCATTCAAATACGCGGCAGGATGTCAAACGACATATTCTGAACATGAGAACCTATTCCAGTGCTCATCGGTGGCATTTGCTCTTCAGTGAATTTGACAGGTGTTGCTATGTCAACACACATAACTGGTTGGGGTATCGTTGGAAGATTTGTACAAGCCAAATTTAACCGGTTCCTGGTTCCAGGTCAAGTTGTGTATCAGTTTGTAAAAGGGAGAAACGCCACATTCTAACACCACGCCTAAGGTGGGATTAATTGGGACACGATTGTACACAGGATGGACAAGTTTTTGGTGTGTCGGCACTGTTCTACACACCATAGCTGCGCCCACACAAAATTGCTCATTAAAATTATCCTTAACTGGAGACTGCAATATTAGAACGATCGAATGCTAGCAGAGGTCAGGATCAGTGGCACATATTTAAAACACATTTTGTTTTTTAAGACTATTTGAATATCTAAAGCTTAAGGCCGTATTTTGCTGCTCATTTCACCAGCCGTTCTTAATTACAACTTCGTAGATTCCACAATAAATGCATTCTACTGTCTCACGTAAGTAGTAATCGTTTAGTAATAATTAACCCAATAAACTTAGACCAATTACCTACCGAAGAAATTTAGCAAGTCCGTCTCTGGATCGCATGCCTTGCAAGTGTAAAGGTTGTTTGTTGCCTGCCATAATTTGGCAGCAAATGCAGTTCCGCGGCAACATCTGGTGATGATATTTTTAACGGTCGTGAGCCACCTGCTGCCACTTCAAGTACGGAACAACTAACAGAGGTTATAGCTCTGCCAGCAGGCTGAATGTGGGTTCGATTAGCTAGACAGGCAGATAGAGCATGTCAGAAACGAGTTTAGTTGTGACAACCAATAGGGATTCCACCGAGCAGTTCTAACTTTGATGAATGCAAAACTAATGGCACTTGAGTGACAGCGGTTACATTTCAGGATAAAATGATGTGACATTACCAGTCGTTATCTTGAAACAGCACTAATTGCCGAAAACAATTTTCAGCCAGTCATTGATCTATGTTGCGCATTTTTGAGATTGTAGCAGTTGGGTTGAACATTTATCTGTGGCAGTTTTGAATCAATTTTAAACACAAACGCACTAAAGTGTTTAGCCAATAGAACATTCCAATTTAGACATTTTCGTATCACCACATTGGTTGTACTGATAGTCTTTTGGATTCAGGAATTACCTTTAGTCAATGTATAATAAAACACCCAAGAAGTAGTTTACGAGGCCATGCCAACTTTAGTAATGTCACGAATCGCGCGAAAGTTCCAATTGTGCAGGCATCATCCGACAATTACTTCGCATTTGAATTGAAGTCAAGCATATTGCGCACCATTTCTTATACTCCCTTTCTCTCCTGTGGTAGTTTAATTCTATCAAAAATTACAAGTCTTCTCTCTGCCATTATTTTACAAAACACTAATTACCAGGTAAAATAGCCTGTACACAAAATCTGATTGGACCAAATCGCGAATCCATGAGACTCAGAGGTGCAGGCAAAGCCAATCACATCAAGGCTAACGTGATTGGTCAAATCGCTTGTCGCAGTAGCCACTGACACGCTGCGACCTAAAAACTTTAAGTTGATCGTGCACAGTCCAATGGAAATTTAGTAATTGCCATCGACTTGGTACTTCTGAAAGACATAGAAACAGTCCCTTTCGGTCAAAAATATTATCCTGGATTTACAAGATGCAAGGCGTTTACACGTTCTGCGTGCTTCAATGATTGTGAGAACATGCCTCAAAGGAAAGGCTTACTTGCTCCCCAGAATACATTCCTGGATACAATCGCAACACGATTTGACGGCACGCGTGAGTGTGACTAAAACCGAACATATTGATGTTAATTTGATTGACAACTCGTCTGTGCAACATACCTTAAATGAGAGTTAATTTTGAAGGAGAATTTTCTGACATTCCAATAAAACGGGAAGCTCTCCATATGGCATTTGTTGATTCTATACGTAATTCCTTTTTTTCAAATTATACTGTTAGGGTTTGAGAAAACTACGTCAAAAGTGCACACTAAAGGTATTTTTCGAAGAAGGCAAATTCCAAGCAGAGCATCGGGATTGTTAGGGTGTGATTTACATCTGCCGTGTGTAGTGTGTATTCGCTGTGTGTTTGCCTTGAGTGAATTTGCATAAAGGCGGTGACACGTCAGAGGAATCGCCGCATTATGCTCAACAATTTACTTATTTATTAAAACCATCGTCAAGGGCGCCATAATTTTAGGACAATTGTGTCGAAATATGCGATAGTACTGATTTAAAGAGGCATTGTGCAATCACCCTGTGAAATCGCGCTATCGTCTGAAATAAAAGATACTTCAGGCTGAAAACACGGATTTTTCAGACTAATTAGCATTAAATTTCACTACAAGGGTTTGTCAATCTCGACACAATCGCTGTGATTAGACAGTGTTGGACGTGCACCCCTAGGAAAACTCCCCAACTGAACTGACCTTCAGACAGTTACATTGCAGTCGAAATACCTACCAAACGCTGAAAACATCCCACTGGAGGTCCACAAGGCAATCCTGTGTAAAGCTCATTGAGCAAAGCATTATTTTGTGAAGATACGTCACGCTTTATGTGTAGGTGGTGCAGGACGCGTGTCTGCAGGTTGTACCTACGCTTAAAAAGCGACCTTTTATGATTTGCACGCAAACGAATCGTCATGAAGGGTTCCTAATTGCAATCGGTTTACTACGGCGTCAATAATCCAGATTTACCTGAACTAATTAATAGCAAGGTTGGTTCGTTGGTAAATTTCAACCAGAACATGTTGACTTCCACTTGCAGGACAATGCGATCGCCTGTGAGTCGTTCGTTTGCCGTGCCTTTGTTTTGCACTTGGAACAAATCACTTGCTTGTATTAAACAAGGGGGACCACACTCGGCATCGTCCACAAATTCGAATATTCTGTGTAAATGTTGAAAGTTTCCATAAATTTGATGCGAGTGCGTGCATAAATATCGATGGAGATATTATTGCATTTATTGAGGCTTAATTAAATCGAAATTATCACCCAAAGTGAATCCACGGATTTGTTGTTAATAAGGCGTTAAGAATTAATGAAATTCTTTCAACATTGAGTCCTAACTCGCATAATCTTGTTCATGTGATTACTTTAATATCTGTCCACAACGTAGAGGCCTGAATATGTTGGGCAGTAGTGGCTGATGTGAGTTCAATATCACGTTATATCCTTAAAAAGCAGAAAGCTCTATTTGGAACACCGAATCGGGCGTGTGTGAACCAATTTCACATGTAATTAAAAGAAAAAATCTTCTGGCATGCAACAGACCGACAAGCTGCCTTGCAGATTTTAATGTGGGGTCATCTGTTTTCACATGGTTGGGATTCTTCGCAGTTGACTTCCTAGTCAAGGCACGATGGCCTATGGCTTAACGTTTGCTCAACCACGACTGATGTCACCGTCACAATTCACTTTCTCTGGCTTAAAGTAATTTGCTCACTTAGAGCGAAGTTCACTTTAGAAGAAAAGGTTGCTGGCACTGCGCAGCCTCTTTAAACACCCTACAAAATTTCAACCAGACGTCATAACAGGGCACCGACCAGAAGTACGCAGACTTCATGAGCCCCGGCTATTTTGACTCGCATATATGCACTACTAGTGAGTGCGTTTGGGGTTTGGACCCATTTCTGACTTGATGTCTGCGCTTAAAACATTTCACCTTGCGTTGAATCCTCCATTAATATATTCCGATGTGTATTGTACATGATTACATGGAATGTGTGTGTTTTATTGTTAAGTTAATGTGTTAGTTTAGACATAAGTCGTTATTCGGTGAGCAGACATGGTCGTAAATGTTTACAGCCACACCTGCTTAATGCTTAGACTGTTTGTCATGGATATTGCTTGCTTGACGACAGTTTGTGTAGTTCCATTTCATGTCGGTTAATATCACAGACGGAATAGATGTTCACTGCAGATATTAGGTTCACGAAGCACTGCAACAAACCCAGATGCCACAAATATGAAAAAATACGGAATAATAGACGGGCCAGCTACAATTTGATCGTCGCCTGTCTTGCTTGGCAAATTCCACTAGGTACTGCATCTGAAAAAGTTGCCTTTATCACACAAATCTCTTGTATTTGTATTATTAATGACTTGCCGAAAATTTTCAACTGAGAAGCATTTTAAATAAGGAAATAAAAATTATTTCAATAAGCCAAAATACTCGCGTCGCCATTGCAAATGATGGAACAGGGGAAGAGATAGTGGCAAGTGATCTTCAAAAAATATTACTTGTGCGGAGATTTGACCCCTGATTATTGACTCGAATGAAATATCAACATGTTCACTTACAATGCTTTATGTCGCCGAAAAAGGAAACCATGGCAGGAATGCAAATTATTCGTGAAACAGCTATTTTTCTCCAGTATGTTGATGCAAATTCTCCCTTAACTGGCACGTGGAAGACCTTCTAGAATGGAGAGAGAACTACAGTTTGTGCGGAAGGTTTTACCGCATGAACTAGGAGTTCAAGTAGAGGACGCGGCCAAAGGGGATGTCGAGGTGGAAGTTACGTACATGCTCAGATGCGTCCATTATCGTTGCGTATATTACGTTTAACGATGAGTTATTGTAGTAAGCAGTCGATCGAAGTGACAGCAGAGTCGTAATCCAGCGGAATGACGTCACAACTCACGGTGTTAATGTACTTGTCTTGGGAACTGTTGACAGCTGGTTAGACAAGTAATAACTGAAAAATGGGACGCGTTTTCATGACAACTATTCACTATTTTAAGGTGCACCTTATAATTGTTGCTTCTGCGTTTAATTTCTAAGTCAATGTCGACAAAGTGCAAATCTACACCCACGTTTAATGACCTCACACTGGACTGAGTAAACTTACTAAAAAAATCACGAGCAATTTGGGTTTTGTGAGCTGCCATTGGTGAAAAACGTGCGTTTCGATGAGCAAACATCTATCTTATTGGTGACTTTGTTAACCTGTTATCAGGCAATATATACTGTGCGTGACTATTCTGGCACATAATGAACCGTTTGGAGGTGCAGTTGAAAAAAACATGGTTTTCTTGTGCAAGAAAGTCACTCTTCTCTTAACCCACATTGACTTCAATATTATAGAAAATAGTCACAATGAGATGTCAAATGTTAATAAACGTCGATTTCGTAAGTGGACGGTTTGTTAACAAGCTTTGATTCCTAAATTGCGCAGCCTGACTTAGCTTCTTGAACAAGGTTAAATGTGATTCGTCTGTTCCGTTTTACATCAGCTGCAGTAACAGCAGCAGCAGGCGTCTAAACAAATTGACTTCGTTTTCAGATAGCAATTTTGTGCTGGGCAACGCGCAAGTGAAGGAGTACCCGATTGTCTACTGCTCGGACGGCTTCGTCGAACTGACAGGATTCGGCCGGTCGCAAATTATGTCGCGCTCCTGCAGTTGCACCTTCCTCTGGGGTCCACTAACCGAAGAGTCTGCTAAGGACAGCATCTGGTCCGCACTCAAGGTGCACACGGAGCTCAAAATTGAGGTCATGTTTCACAAGAAAAACGGTAAGTCTTGATGTATGTGCCAGGCAGAGCCCAAACTGCACCACGCATTAATGGTCTCAGTTTGCACACGCCTAACTATAATGCTCCAGATGGTTGGCGCTGGCTTTCAGTTATAGTATTTGTGTTCAGGATATGCAGCGAATTAAGCACCAATTGAGAAATGTAGTGCCCTGCTACTCATATCATCCATTTTCATGTATATGTCCTTTGCATTTCCCCGCCTTATATACAAGGTCACTCGACATCCCAAATGAGGTTCTATTAGTGTCCCTTATCGGTTTGAGTTAACGAATACTGCAACAGACAGCTAGTCCATGGGCATTAGAGCGCGTTGCGGTGAGCCTTGAACATTGATGATTGCCTGATTAAAGTAGACAGCCTTAATACTAACAAACGACAGACGCAATTTTATGACCAGTGCTGCGTCATTTCACCAACCCGATGAAACAGTATTTAGCTGTGCATTCTTGATGTGGCCACTATTGTTCTCTTTGCGAAATGATTAACATCGAAATTGAGATCAATTTGCACTGAGAATGTACAAACGTTGGAGACGAGAAAATTCTAGACCGCTGCTAGCACAACCAAATGAAAGTTGCAGTCAAATTCTTCTGAGCTATCCAAAATTAAACAGAAAGTTGCAAAGGTCAGATGAAAGTCGTCACTAACGCAATAAAAGCAGTACTTCTGCAGCTTTTTTGTGATTTTTCGTGCACAATTTCGGAAATCATGTTTTAGCTCAATGACTAGTTTGCTAAAACACTTCAAATCATAACGAAAGTGACCTTATTTTGTAGGAAACGCCTTCAGATGCCTTCTGGATATTGTGCCTATCAAAAACGAGAAGGGGCAGGTGGTGCTCTTCTTGGTGTCACATAAAGATTTGACGACCCAGAAAAAACCTTCTGGTAGGTGGTTAAGAATTGTTTTTTAGTTTCATTTACAAAGAGAATTTTGCATTAAAAGTGATGAGAATCATTAAGTACCTTCTATACTGCACCACAAACTGGCAATATGATTTCCAAGGTTGCTGTATCAAACAATAGGGTTAAATTCACATGAAATAAGCTGACAGATAGTTCATGGTTTTGTCATGTTATTTCATGATCACTAGTTAATTCGATTTAAATGTTGGGAGTAAAGAATGAACAAGAAGACGTTTCCTACTTCTGGAAGAATGGTCATAATTCACTAATAAACACGACTTATTAATATTTGCAAGAATAACACGAAAAGAAGTGACACGGGATTTTTCCATTTGCACACATTTGAAAGCAGTAACTTGGCACCTAAACGACACTGTGCATGCTGTGCTAAGTTACTTTGTTAGTATGTCATCTGGGAAAGAAGATGCTGGTATATGTTTTCCTTAAGGGCATTTGTTTTTTATTTGGAAAGGGTGCGTTCGGCGAATGAGTTATACAAAGTGTGCCGCGTAACTGTTTACTAGAAAGAAGGAGATTTAGGCTGGTCAAATATTGATTTTTGTGTCACAGCAAGGTCTTTTTTAAAATGAGGTACAATTCGCCGACTTGATTTGAGAAGACAAGAAGCAGGAATAAGATAACCTTGTTACTAGTATAGTAATTTACGTTAATGTAACAAACGACTCCACACTGGAGGTATAAGACAAGAATTAGGTCGATTCCAGATGGTTTTCGCTTTAATGTACACAACGTGCCTCCACTAGTGGGCCGTGACAATTGACAATGAAACGCCAAAGAACATATAAATGGTAGCTGTGAATGCATTCTCCAGGAAATTCAACGAGCCTGCTGTCATGTGGATTGGCGTCTACGGTGACAGCTGCGGCTCTAGTCACGAAACGCCAGCCGGAACTGATGCTTCCTTCAGGCAACCGAATTCCCTCTAGAGTGGTGCCTGTACGTAGAGCCATCACGCCGTCTTCCACCCTACGTCGGGCGTCGGCGCCGCATGTTGGTCGAGATTCGACACCTCGGGTGCGCTTTGGCTCCTGTTTCGGCATTCAGAATGAATCGGTTGGCCTCAATTCACGACCGCCGCTACGGTCACAGTCGGAGGCGATTTCTGCTGCGTCTGCCACGCCAAATGCCTCTCACGCGCCGAATCACTTCCTAACTGACACCGAAAGTATTTCGGGTTCTTCGAAGGCGTCGTCATCGAAGAAACCAGAGACAGAGACCTCCACCACGCCCTCCTCTTCGTCGTCGTCATCGTCCTCACGTTCCTCGGGTTCCGACGACGACGATTCGCAAACAGCCTACAAGTTCCAGAGGCGAAGGAGTAGGGCCGTGTTGTATCATCTGTCAGGCCAATATGCTAAAAAGAACAAACACCATAAGCTCAATTTTAAGCGTGTGGTAAGAATTCGCTTAACACGAGTCTCCTTTGCTGACAACAATTTAAGGGATGCATTCGAGGCGGGATTTTCACAAAGAAAAGTAACTAAATGTATAATGTTCTTATATCTTCCTTACTTTAACTTTTAAATGACAAGAATTAAAATGTATTAGAGGAGCTGTTTACTTATGGTACAAAGTGAAGCATTTGCTTCAAGTGAAATATTGTAATTCTGAGGTTCAAAATCATGGTGCAGCTTTGTCTAAAAAATTATTTATTGCACGAAAATTGAGACAAGGCATTGTGTTTTTTATTGATTTAATACTGATAACTTAAAAAAATTGTAAAAACCACAAAATCCATAGTACTTTTGATTGAGACTGACAGTTTCTCATTTTGAGATATTTGAGTTAAGTTAAGGAAATTTCTGTGATTTCTAAAAATAAAAAAAAATTTTTTTTTCAAAAAATTCGATATTTTTTGACTTAATTTTTCTGTAAGCAATTAAATCACACAATTATTTCTGCGAAGGCCAATTCTATTTCTGACCAATTACTGATTTAGTGTACGAGGGTACATAAATGTGATTTCCTTACTATTACTTTAGTAACAAGAATCAGGACGCAGCAGAGAAGCAGTTAATTCAAAATCATAACTATAGCTGGATGACATGACAATATCATTTTTAAACCACTGCACACATTTTGATTTTAAAATTTCTTTAGTGCATTCCGCATTTTACTTCATAAAGCTGCACATTAATATAGCCTAAATTTCCGCCCACATTACTGTAATTATGGGCGTTCACATCTGAAAGTCCTTCCACAGACGCTTTCAATCCACTTAATTTCTTAATTGGTTGCAAATGTTTCACCAGATTTTGATGCTTCTTGCACACATTTAAATACATGATGCAGTCGAGTTCACGGTAATTATTAGGTGTAAAACCTTTTTTTGTGCAGACGTTTTTCTCCAATCTTAAAATTATACATTTAAAATAGGTATATTTCGTGGTTTTGAAAGTATCGGGGTCAAGGTTTTAAGAACACTGAACGACATGTCTACGTGAATTACATAACATATCAGTATGTCAACTGCACTTTATGTGAATTCCAACAAGAAACAAGTGTTTCTAAAGCACGGCAATCAGTTTTCACTGTGCTTGATGCCGACGTTGTGTCTCGTGAAACGTACGTTTATTTGTACATATGTTCTGAAAGAGGTGTCGTCGATCTTACAGACCAAATGCGCCCGTGACAACCTCAAAGGTTTGAACATGCGGAATCGCAAACTCAACCAATATACGAAGACTTGACGCAAATGCAACAAGAGCATGCAGCTCATTTGGAGACATGCAAACAGCGTTTTCTTCACGCGTTTGTACAAAGTGGGTAATGGTGTTATCGATTTTCGAATTCTGTAGGTCGGCCAGAGACATGCAAACAGTGCTCTAATCAGGATCTTACAGACCATGACAAACTAGAATGTCTGAAAATGCGGAATGTCAGGCTCTGCTAATATAAGAAGACATAACACAAATGCAGCAAGAGCCTGTAGCTCAGACAGAGTCACGCAAACAGCGTTTTTATCAAGCCTGTGCACTAAAATTGTAAAATCTCAAAACCTGGAAGTTTATTCATCCCACTTCTGTTGACCGAACACTTCAAAGATTAACGTATGAACACATGCCCTTCACTGCTTGCTCGTCGGCAACAAAAGGCAATTCTTGTGAAAAGTTGTTATATAAGTGATAAGAACCATACAAGTGAAAAGCCGTGGATATATCTAGGTTAAACCTAGTACGCCGACGCCAAAATAAAACTTCCGATTAAGGGAGGTTCACTTGTGTATCTGGGGCGACATGAAGGGTGTGCCTTATTAGGGGACACCAAGATACTGCTCAATAGGTGACTGCACAACGTTACAGCCGACAAGCGAGCAAGCGCAGTTAAGAACTTGATCAGAATAGGTCATTTACTAAGAGAGGGGAACTAGCAAATCATAATGCTACTGAATGACGTGGCTCGCCGTCATGAAGCTCGCGCGATTAAGAAGACCATCTTGAACTTGGTGTAAAAAATTCCCACACACACGCGGCATATTTTTATCACAACTGATTTAATTAAAGTCCAAAAAACCTAGTTTCGGCCCCGACTAGAATTGAATATTTCAAGCATGCATGATTTTATTCAAAAGTTCCTTTTAACAAAAAAAAATTCACTGTGTTTTGTAACCAGCTGTAGTTTTATCACACGAATATCAAGTTTGATTACATTTTGCAAAGTTTTTTGAAATTATCTACTCACTGCCACGTATTTTTAAACTCAAACACTTGGCAGTTTAATGACTTTATATCGTGGCATTAAAAACAAGTCAGGTGAAGTAATCAAATGCCGAAAAATTGTTTTACACATTCATAAGGTAATTACTAAAAAAATGTCAATTACTTTGAATAAAAATGCATTGTTCAGTTGTAGAATTTCATTTTTCAAAACCACTGCAGCGTGTAGCGGTCTTAAATTAGTGGAAACAAAATTTCCTGTATGGACAAGAGTAATGAGGCAAGTCCAGTCCAGTTTAATGTACCGAAGAGTGTTTCAGCACTCACATGGCAGGATATTTAGCTCCTTTGAGGTCCGGAAAAATCTTACTGAAATAAGCAAGTCGTTTTATGAACACACGATTTCGAAGCGATAATCGCACTGCATCCGTCGCCTTAACACGTGAATTAAAACTTGCTTAACCAAACAACAACTCACTGTGGTTCCCCCAAAAATTGTTTGCACGCATTTAATTTACGAAAACAAGACAGTGGCTAGACAGTTTTATTTGAATTAAGTCATCCTACTGATTGCAATTATGAGCTTGCACAAGCTTCAGCCGTTTTAAACAGTCCAAGGCGCAGGCAGTTAACTTGAGCAGTCACGTTTAAGAAAAAAGATGGCAGTTGCTTCGTTGCTTGTATGTTTGGAGCTTTATAATTAATCATGACAAGTTAGAAAGTTAGCTCCGCGAGTCACGAAAATGTTTGCCGACAGAACTTTTGGAAAAATAGTATTTGCTGACACACTCTAGCATGCTCTGCCTTCAGCTTCCACAACTCTCAACAAAGAACTCAATGCCCGAGTACAAGGTGCAGGATCTAAAGGCTTCCCGTTGCATTCTGCTTCACTACAGCATCCTAAAGATCGTCTGGGATTGGCTAATTGTACTTTGTACCTTCTACTTCGCCGTCATGGTCCCCTACAACGCTGCATTCCAGAGAGACACCAACGAGCGTTCACTCCGCACCCTCGACATGATTATTGAAGTGCTCTTCATTGTTGGTAAGTCTATAAACTCAGAATGAATCTGTCAAGATACGTAATTTGACCTAGTCCTTCAACTAGGCCATTTCGATTCCAGTAACCCCTCCACACATGCCAACATTGAATATTGTTTAAAGCAGCTGCACATTCTCATAACCATGGTCCCGCTTCAACCTTCGTTGACTTCATAGTGAATCTTAACCAAAGACTGATTAGATTCGTATGTAAGAGGATGTATAACTAACAGTCAACAAAAGTACCTATCAGTGCATGCCTGAAATTTATTAAATTTCTAATGCCCAGGCTCCTGCCCTGATGCCGAAAGTAAGCACTAACTTCTTAATTATTAACTAAATACTTTTATTTGATACCAGAAATCTGGTGGGTTGGCTGAAGTTGTCAGTCAACGGAAGAAATAAGAAACCCTGAAGGGAGTAAGTTAAAAACAAGTTTCAAAATGAATCAACGGGTCAGAAAAAAAAGTTGAGCTCAAGTACAGGGTAATTCACCCGCAACCCCTCACTAGTGCATGAAACGTCGGATTATGAATAATTCATCTAATATTGCAAAAGAAGGCAGTGGAAATTTTCCGGTGCCTTTTTTGAATATTTGAATGCAAACACAAGTTATCATCTACATAAATTTAAGGATCAACATAGTTATATGAAGAAGTCATGCTGCCTATGGGCTTAGTGTTGGGTGCTGAGAAATATCCTGCTTCGCACACGAACTGTCTAAATTCTCATTCTGTAGAACTTTATACGTATGAATTTTCACAGGTTTATATATGTGTAAGGATTTATCATTCGACACTAAATATAGTCATCCTTGGCGAGAATATTATTAACTTCGGCCAGAATTTTAAATGCACTACTTAAAAGGACTGTGGTGACGGAGAGCATCACGTTAGCTCATTTTTGTGCAACTTGAAAAAAAGTACGTGCTGGCAGGTAAATGAACTCAGTTTCCTTGTAAAAGAGAACGTTAGAACTACTTTCAACTCAAAGTGTGCTCAAAAGGCCTACCACGTGGGAAGATGCAATCTTTGATTTGTAAACGCTTGCGCACTGAACGTTCAAGGTTATGACCGGCGGCAGTACAAGCCCTAAGATTGCTTACGTCCGTTGAGATGGTTGTTGATGCAAGTTTAGTAAATTACAACGCAAATGCAATTTACTGCTTGTCGTTGAAATACTTTGCAACATATTGGACAGCTAGTAAAAAAGCATTGCCCAAAATCGCAGCTGTTCCAGACTACCTGCTAATAGAACATCTCACAATGGATTCATTTGTGTCCTAGGCAGTAAATTTAACGGAAAACTCGAAAATGTATCCTGTTTTTATGCCATAATATTCCTTAATTCTACATTCTAATGTCACGTTAATTATTATTTCCGGCAAATTTGTATTACTGAATAGCGAGTTAATTTATGCTACCAGAATTATGTGTTTTCTTTTAGCTCACTTTTGCAATATGCTAGTCTTGTACGTATCCTACTGAAATTGGTAAACTGGCAAAGTCAAATGTGCTACAAACTATCGCTAATAAAAATCAAGACGTTCTCTTGATGTGTTATCGTAAAACAAAATCACTAAATTAAGCAAACAATATTGAGTGCTACTTGAAGGGCAACTTCTAAGGTGACTGCATGGATGGTACGAGGATATTGTTTGATTTTTGCAAAAGTATAACAAGTGTTACATAGTTTGTGGTCTCTTAACATTTATCCCCGATGGCAACAAGAACATGCTAGGGGCTTTTCTCCAGTTTCAGTGTTTCAAGATCAATTCCGAATCTTTAAAAACCATCAGACATTGCCACAAAAGAGACAGTCATGGATGCACATTAAATTTCACAATCTCCACACACTCCGATAGAACATGATTGACTTGAAGAAAAACTCGCATTGAAAATAAGGCCAACTTATTTTATTGCACACAATTTGGCATATAGAACCCCGCACTAAGTTCGAAAGCAAAAATACTGGCTTGCAGGACATGCAAAGTGACTTATTTCTTGCAGTTATAATTCAGATAGGTTAAAACGCATTAAATCTTTTCAAATTCTTAACGCGAAAGCGGAATTCGAAAATCAATTCCTGGTCGAGCACGCGATGTACTTTTGTCAAATAGCAGAATCATGAAATCGGTAATTTGCACTTAAGATAATGCCTAAATACGAATGCGACGTAAGTCTGCACTACAAAATTAGAACTGCTTTAATTGACAACATTAAAATAATAAATGGTCTCTTTTGGATGCAGACGGTAAAAAGTAAAACGTATTTACCTCTCAATTCACTGATAAGAGAGTGATGCCGGAAACGCCAGCTTCTCTCCGAACAGTGGAAAAAAACTTCGACTTTAGCACAATCCGCAGAATGCTTCTTTTGCTCTTGTAGACATCCTCCTAAACTTTCGAACGACCTACGTCAGCAAAAGTGGCCAGGTTGTACACCAGTCGAGAGCAGTGGCTCTCAATTACATCCGCGGCTGGTTGTTACTCGATCTCATAGCGGCGGTTCCCTTCGACGTCATCTGGACCATTCAGAGTCCAGAATCACCCGTGGTGAGTTCTGCGGCGCACACGCTCAGTGTCTGGTGCTATGTGAGGTTTGAATTGCGGATGTAAGGAGTTGGTATTGAGAGAATGCACAATCTTCTAAAGAGAATCTTGTCGGTTATTATCGGTTATTTAAATCAATCTTGGACGAATTAGCGGGAAGCATTAGACAGCAAATTAGCCTGTCAAAAAGGCTTAAATTATGGAAAAAATGTTACTGCAATAACATCGTATTTTGTAGATTTTCATTTTAATATGACCTTTGGAAAGTTTATAGCAAGTAAATTTTTGTGAGTTTATTCAAGTGGTATTCCCTTTGCTTTCTTTTGACGTTTTTTTCCACAAAGAGACGAAAAATTGTCATTTTGCACTAGAAGAAGTAAGTTAATGACAAATTTTGTAAAAATTTACCCAACGCATTATGAATTAACACTAGTCTTCATTACCCACTCAGGGTACACAAAGATCTAGTGCCCTGAACTCACACTAAATTGGCACTCTAGTGGGTGCGTTTTGATTTCACATCAACAACACCTTTGCCTTTGCTAACAAAAGGATGTTTTGGTAAATTATTTGCTCACGAAATTACGCGGTGTTGCTTTTCAACACTTCTTTCTTACTAGAAGTATAATTTCAGTGTAAACAAGAAATTGTCCAATATTTGTGTCACTGCCTACTGCAGTAGGTGTCTATTTCAAGTGATGCACTCAAAAACGTGATGAGATAGCACTTGTAGTAAATAAAGCAGGTTATAGACCAAACTGAACTAGGATAGCTATCTCACCTGAGGTCTGTGGTGCTGGCTTCCACTATCTAGGCGGAAACGATCATTTATTTTCTCAGCGTCAGTTTAGTAAGTTCACCATTGTGTGCGGGTGATGGACTTATCCGAGAGCAACCAAGTAAATGTATGGTTGCATTATTGAAGCTAGCCAATCTGCAACACACCCGTTTAGGACAAACTCTATTCAAAGTTCCATAGCTGTTAAATCTGCATCCGTCCTTTCATCTTGAATATGTCATCCTGTTAAAATTGATATTGCGTCACTACTTTCCATACACCACTAACCCGTTAAGTTTACCTATTTGTGGCTAATTTCCCAGTAAATAGGCAGGACTAGTGCCTGATTTTGGATGAACCTTTGTTCAATTCATTGTTTATTTAGGAAAGCCACCAAACACCGTACCTAACCTGAAAGCAGCAGCAGCGGCAATAAACCCAATTTTATATTACAGCTTCTCATTAAATCGCCATATGTAAAGCAAGGCATTAGCACCTAATCAATGGCGTATGGTCACTGATATAGGCTAATTACAGGAAACCAATGATGCCACAAAATTAGTGCAGTCATTCATCCCAATATGATGCTAGATGTGTTTAAGCAGTGCACTTCTGTGCAAATGATATTTGTGTAAACTACCAGACTCTAAGTTACAATCTGCTAGCACGTCTTGAGTCGTCTAGCTGTTAAAAGGAATTATAAACACGTGTTTTGCTCTAAGCCTCTGAAAGACACCATGCAGCCGATTGTTACACTTGGTCAATTTGAATATAGTTCCAAATGTGTGGAGTTATGTGCAAATGAAGTAGCGTAATTATACATGCCATGTCTCACGGCAACGCCACCTGCAAACTTCGCGGGTGGCATTTGAATGTCGCATGCAAATAAAGTTGTTAAGAGCCACGTAAGAAACAAAATAACATGTTTTTAGAAATCTTTCCTACACGCCTTTAACGTGTTGAGTCGTTCAGCTGTGAAATGAGTTGCAAACTCGTGTTTTGCTTGGGGCATCTAAAAATACTTATTATACAGCCGATTTTCAAAGTTAACTTTTGAATACTCCATTTTTGCATAATAATAATATATTTGTGTTATGTCTGGAGTTAGGTGAGGCTGTAGTAATTTAATTATGCACTTCCTGGCGACTCATCATAAGAATTCAAACTTTGAGCAAAATTTAAATGTCGTCAAATGACAAATCGAGTTTTTAAAGAGTCGTTTGTGTTGCTAGTATGCATTACTATCTATGATATGTTGTCCTAAGCAGTTAATTTACTTCAAAACCCACCAATTGTGGCTGGAACGCAATCGATACCTCAAACGATAAACAGTAGGTACGATAGGAAAAAGTTAAGAACACGCTTTAGTCAGAACGCGTCGTGGACCCCAGCATGCGGTCCTGAACTACGTTGGGGCCATTGAGTTGAATTTGGCCCGATTTCGCTTATCTGCTGCCCACGATGATGAAGAAGACAGAAGAGGACGAGGGACACAATCGTTTACTTTAGAGTTCAACCAAATTGCTATCGTTGTGTCGTGGGTGGCGTTTGCGCGCTTGTATTTGTACCGCAGGATGCTGGAGTGATCGGATCACAGAATGTGAATCAACACGACTCACTGCAAACTCAATTCTCGGTTTCTTACTTACAGGCTAATTGGATGCACCTGATGAAGCTAGCTAGACTGCTGCGACTGGCACGACTCTTTCAGAAAATCGAGCGCTACTCACAGTACAGTGCAGTCGTCTTGGGCATCCTCATGTGCATGTTCTTCCTCCTCGCCCATTGGTTCGCTTGTGGGTGGTTCGGACTGGGGAGTCGAGAGCTGCTTAACTTAGCAACAAGAAATCACAGTGAGTGTGTTGAAGCTTATTCTTGTGCTTAGCAAGTCCTTATTTTTAAAGAGTCCCATCAAAATGGTGCGTCAGTTCGTTTAAGAGAAGATTTGAATCAAGCATTATGAGGTCTAAAAACGCTGTTATCAGGGTACTAGGATATTTATCGAATTATCGTTCACATAACGGTTTTTGGTATGCAGCATTAATTGCTCGTTAGCACTACCTTCTCTAATAAACTCTTGCTTAAACTTTATAACAAATAATTAGGAAAGTGATCAAGTGTTGTGGTCATTAATCACCGTTAATGAGATTTTTTTATGCCTGACCCCCCAGAAAGTGTTGGATAGCACGGCAATTAAGGCCTTTTTATTGCTGAATGAAAAAAATTATATGTGCTTTATACTCTGCACTTTGAGAAGTAAGTACACCGTTTCAATAACTGTCAGTACAAAAGTAGTGCGGAATGGACGTCAGAAGCACCACTTCAGGTGGCTAAATTAGAGGTTAAAGTATGTGGTCTGGCTTAGGCGTAGCAAGTGCCCCACTTTGAGGTCGCAATTTATTTAATCACACATCCAAGACGTTCCACACAAATCAGCTCCACGATAATTATCTACTCTTTGGGAGAACAGCAACTATAAACAAAGAATTTAGCTAGTCCCTCTTTGCTTTGGCGTTTGAAATTGAATTTCTTGTAAAAGCGGGGAAAATTGAAATCTAAAATGAGGATTTTGAATACAAAGCTAATAGTAGCACTTCGAACTTACAGTGCATTGACCAAACCACGAAACCGAGTAGTAGAAACACTTCTTTTAGCCTTTTTTGCCTTCGATCTTAAACTAAACTTAGTTAAAGACATAACTAGCTGGAATTTGTCCAATGTCATTTAGCACAACAAAAAAACCCAACTTCTAAAGATTTTAGTTGATTTTACGTGGCTAAAATTAATTGGTTCTTGTATAATTGTAACCCAATCATGTAAGCAATCAAGCAGTTCAAACTCGTGACAAGATAATTTCACCCAATCATAGAATAGTTTTACAAATCTGGCATTGAAGTGACTAGCGAATAGTTCGCCAAATAAAGTTTCGGCAGCTTGGTTGCCAAAAATACTGTGGCGTTAACTTGTCACCTTATTCACAAGCCAACGCTAAAAATCTCGGATTCCATCAAAGCACACACACACCTCTGTCTGCACATCGGATCACATCAAAAAGTGTTGATAATAAGGTTGAGTCACATGACAAATAAACCCACGGCTTTTGAACTTTGCCGACTTAATTAAGAGGCACGCAAAGTCTGTCCACTTGTTTATTCTCTTAGTAGTTCATCACAGATGTTAACGGCGGCACAAAATGCAGCTACCATTATCCTGAATGCCAACACCTATCAGTTAAATTGAAACCCTATGAGGTTATTTACTTCCCTGAAAGTATGGTAAACTGCATTGCTGTGTTGCAAAAATTTGAAAAAAATGCACTTTATATTCGGTAGTAAAGGATGTCACTCGCTTAATCTGTACTAGTGGGCAAAACAGATAGTTTTAATTGATTAGTTGCGTTAACTTAAAGTTATTTACACACTAATGCAACACTTCATAATGAACATCAACAAGTCGTTTGTGGTTTATAAAGACCGAAGAAGACTCATCGATTCGGCAATTTGTCCCCACACATAAACAAACGCAGACGTTGAATGTCACAATTTAAAACGAACTAAAGCAGGACGTTATTTTTATGATAAGTCAACTTCAGAGCTAGTCTTGAAATACTGGAACGCATTTTAGAAACATCCAGAATAGCGCTTTTGTGCTTAGTGCATCTTTGCTCTGTAGCAGTGCTTTTTCAAGTTGTAGGTAATTTAAAACACACGAACCGGCACGTCCAGTTAAAGCTGTAATTTGGCGGTTTACCGGCAACAACTATAGGCAAACAATTTCTGCACACATTCGCCATTTCGTGCAAGGCAGAACATTCCCCACTGTAAATGATGGATTAACATAATGATGGTATTTCCGTTGTCACTGGCGCTCGGATTTGTTTGGGTCTTGTCAAAGAAAAACTGCATTGCCAACTCCGTATTGCTCTTGCTGCAATATCTAACAAAAGTGGATAACATTTATCTTGTAATAGAATTTGATAAAACCTTCCACACCACGGTCTAGTTGAGCGTTCTTTCCATAGGGTTAAGCTGGCAATTCGCTCCAACCTTGAACGTGTACATCAAATTATTGCAGCACAGCTGCATTGTTGCGTAGTTTCAGTGGTTCAGTTAACACTACCTTTCAATCCGCTAGTTGACAGTCCTTAAAAACCCGAGAGGAGAGGCAAGACAGGCGAAGCCGGACACGACAGTTTGTTAGCGTCGCGACAGCCAGGTGTAGCTGTGTGTGAAGATGAATGAGCGGATGACGAGCTACTGGTAGCAGCAACTAAAAAAGTAGGGATGAGTCATTGACACTATGACATCAGTAAATCGGCTTCGTTCACGCGCTGTCATTGATGTCTACGAATGTAACTTGTCATCTACTTTGACTGTTGGCTAGCCTCCCGATTTCAGGGACAATGCCAAAATGTTAATTTATCTTGCATGCTTATGTATGTATGGGCCAATTAATACTTAGTTCTACGTTAAGTTAAGGCAAATATTTTCGAAAACCACAAAAAATCTTTCGTTTCATTAATGCAAACATTCACCTTTATGGTGGGGGAAGGAAGGATTATAAACGTGATAGTTGATTGCAGATTTGTATTAGCAAATGTAGTCGCTTCCTTAAACCACCATAATGTTATCGTCACATTACTACAGCAGGCTAATAAGTCGTATTTATAACTCAGCTTGTTAGCGTGGTAACACTATACATACGAACAAAATGGTTGATTTCGAACGTAGTTATGCAGTAATCTGGATGTATTTACGGTTTCGTCTTTTATCAACAGTTGCCCCCATTAATAAAGCATTTTAGTTATCGGTGTGTTTAATTAAGATATGCCAGCCCACCACATATCTTATCTGGGTAGTGTACTCTTAAGTCTCAACGAAGTGTAGATTTCATTAATTGAAAAACTACTAAAACAGTGGTTCTATGTGGCATGCTTCCCACCTTTTTTGGGATAAGTGTAGAAAATTGACTTCATCTGCTCGGTTTTTCATTATCTTTAACATATATATTAGCTGGCAAGATAACAAGACCTTTTACAATGCATGTATGCAAATATTTGGTTTCTGTTTGCCAACAAACCATTAATTAGACGACTTTGTGAGAAACGCGGTCAAAGAAATAATGGTTAACATTTTGAACTGCCACTTTTGCGCAGTGTATGAAACTGCAGTCAAAAAAATTATTCACAAGAGTTTATAGGAAAGTAAAATAAAAACTTGGGTTCGAGTAGATGCTTTTACCATCTACAAAGAAACAGTGTCAATTAACCATGTTGTTTGTCCTTAAATATTTGTCAAGGCAACAAGTTACAAATAATTATAGTTGATCAAATCAATTTTTTTACGAAATTTTCATGTTTTACACTCAGAAGACATTTCGGGTTTAATTAAAACTTATGGACAGGGCTGCTTTTAATTTGAAACCATTCCCTTATTGCAATTAAAACTATTACACCCTCTGCCACTAAGATGTAACTCTTATACACCGTTTTTCTTTATTTTTTGTGCGCGACGGCAGAGCACAAGCATTTTCCTAATTAAAAATTTATACTAATACAATTTAAAAAACACTTGATTTTTAATTGTAAAACTGTGCTAATTCTTCCCGTAAAATTTGTTTTAAATTAAAAATTGGAGTATTACCTAAAAAGTTTTGTTCTGATTGAAACATTTTTGGTGCAACTTCGACCAAAGTCTAGAACAGTTGATTGTGGTTTAACCAAGCAACAAATAAAGCAGCCGGTTTTTTACTATTTTCGGGATTAAAACCCTAAATTTGGGAGTACTTCAGGCAATTTATTAAGCGTCCAGAAAAGTTGAGATTTTTTTTCATTTTATAACACCCACTTAAGGCAATGCTCCACTTTGAACTGTTACATTGCATTAAGCCTTTCACAAATATGCCTCCTCGGTAATGTAAAATACAGGTGCAATTTTTTCCTCCAAATACTACCATTCTGTCAATTCTTGCCCTGTCAGTTTCAAAAAAGGCTGAGAATCAATGGATTTAACCAATTAGCGTTGATTTCAATAGATATGACCATGAAACCTATACCGTTTGTGCTGAGGTATCAAAACACATAATTGTATGTTTTTTTCGCGCAAATGGCAAAATCATCATCAGAGCATTTGTGGAATGCAATATTTTATTATTATTTACCATTTAGACTCCCGGTGTCTGCTTACGTAACCTATCATCGACAAACACTGCCTAGCAGTTACTTAAGAAGGGAAGCATAACAAAAGCAAGTTGATTAAACACCAATCACTGATAGCTATCGTAATGACCTATTTACGGAGCATTCGTGTTTCAGAAACCTGTTGTTGTGATGCCTGGCAAATCACATGATGGAAATACAAATGCATTAACCTTATTTATCCATTCGCAAACTTAGAGCGGTCAAATGAAAATCCTAAACATAAGACCGTCGGTTGCACCAAAATGGCCTAATTAATTTCTCATATTTTTAAAAAAAGCGCTTTGTCTTATTAATTTTCAGATTAAATGAAAAGTAGACAGTTAATTTTCGAGTAATAAATATTTTATATCCACGACTGCATGACATAAACTTCCACAAGGCTGTAACTACTAGATGAATTCAATAACATAATCCACAGAAGGTAAAGAAATAAAGCCTCATTTCTGCCCATATTTTTCATTCTTTGTTCTTAATTGAAATTTAAGCCAAGTGAAATCGCTTAAGGTTAGTCAAAGTTGCTGCCTCAATCGAATTCTTGTATAGCAACCTACGTGGTTTCAAAATAACACGATAATCACACAAATACCACAATAGAATTGTGCAATATATCTTTTAAACATGGCGATGCTGCAGACCTTTGTGTCCTCTTGGCCTTGAATAGCACTTGTCTCTATTAAATTCAACTA